GGTTTTCTTTCTACCATAGCGACTAGGTAACGTATTTGAAAGCGAAGGCTAGCTACAAAGGCTTCAGGTTTGTTTATGGCAGAACCGAAATTTAGCGGTCGGTTATGCCGCATCTAATCCGGACACGTTTAGAACCCTGGAACAGTCGAACTGGTAATACAGTGGTCTTGTTCTTTCTTTTGTTCATTGTACCGTTTTATTTTGTCCTTCCTTTTTCTGTAAACTTCGTGAGAGATCGGTAGTTCGTATATGCCTCAGCAGTAAACTTGACTTAACTTCATACACTGTTTTATGCTTCACTTTGTCATGCCATCCAACGTGCAGTAGTTTGCAAACTTATCTGTAAGACCGTGTGTGATGAACAGCTGAACAAACGCTTCATAGAAAGGTAATATGAATCATTTTTTCTTACGACGGTTATTGCTGTCCTTAGAAAAATTTGAAGAATGACCAGACGAACAGAATCTACGCGATAATGGTCATTGATAAACAATGACCAATCGCAACTGTTCAGCTGGACGTGCTCTTCTGTATTTATAGCAAACACTTCAGCTTCTTGATATCTAAAGTCTAAAGCTTCAGCTGCCAATTTTTCGTTCATTCTTTAATTCCTACTCCTCGTGGAATTTAGGCTCACCGCTGCCTCGAAGATTATCTCATGAAATGAAATGATTCATGAAATGCTTTCATGAACTATTATCATTCTGATTGCGCATAGCATGTTCTTTACTGAACAATTGCTCTATCATGTAATAACCATCCTGTAGCACGACAGAGTTCATTACTTGATTATAGCTCGGCCTCGATTTTCTGCTGATCTCATAATTCACGCACCCGTCCCGAATTAAACGCTTCATGCAGCCTGTGTAAACGATGATTTAAGCTTCATGGTTTTTTATTCTGCTTCCAGTCGTATCTTAATAAATTCAACTTTTGCTGTACTTCTATTTAGTACCTTTTTATCCATTTTTTGTCAATCTTCGTTTTTAATCTTTTTTGTCATTTCTTATGCATTTCATTTTCCTCCACTTTTTTTTCTTTGCACATTATTTTTTTCATATTAACGCTTTAATTATTGACCTTTTAGACGATTTCTTCTCTGTGCATTATTAACTTGTGCTGAAGTACAAATACCGTCGTCGTCTGGGAAAGCTTCACTTATTAGATACTTTTTATTCAGGCTTCTAACTATTTTTTTTTGTCTGTTATCGTAAGAGCCCTCCTTTTCTAATTCCACTCTGTGCCTTTTGTTTTAACACCTGAACTTATTTTTTCTCCTGCTTTTCAATGGATTTTACATAAATAAGCTGGCTTTGAAGCCAGGCGTTAGGCTTGAAAAACAACCTCATACCAAATTTGGAAGATTTTCTTTGTTTCTTCTCAGCGAGATCGTTTTCTGCGTTAAGGAGTAACAACTGTTAGGTTCTTGAGGTCCCAATTTTTCACTGATTCTACTTATTGCTATCATTTGTTTCCTAACTTTTGATCGCTTCAAGGATGAGCTTTCCTGTTTAACCGTTCATCATCCTTAAAATGTTAAAAATGACTGCAGCTTTTTTCGGTTACCGTGTTTCTCATGCTAGTTTTCAAGCTTTTCTCCGTCATGATGTTTGTAATCCCTCATTTAACTCCATGAGGGTAGTTGAAGTCGTTGGTCGACTAGTGATAGATTTCTGTGATGTAAATTCCCACCACCCGGATACCAGTAGGTCTAGAAACAGGAGGACTCCGTTTTCTTTCATTTTCCATCAAGAAGGAAAATTTTTTTAGTAATTCAGAGTTTTGATGATTCAAACTCTAGTTTTGGTTCCTTTTGGGCAAACGGAAAGCAGTTCGTTCACCTACCTTTTGAAGAGGATATGTTTCGTTCTTTAAGTTGCTGTTGTATTGCGTGAGTCTCGAGATGTTCCATGAAAATTCCGGCAGCGATAGTGGCACCATCAGTTTTCTTCGCTTTTGCTAGTACAAATTGCCATTGAAACAAAAGTAGTTATAATCTGCCATGAAAACTTAGAAAGTCCTATATGATTTCCGTTGATTTCACGGTCCTTGTTTCGATCTCTTGGTCTGCCGCAAGTTTCTGCTTTACGATTTCGAAGATTCATTTGAGAAGAATATTGACGAAAGTGTCCCTTTCGTTGTTGAAAGTCAACGGAGAACTTCAAGGTATTTGTTATTAAAAGTCTCATGTTCTCATCCATATTCCCTTATCAGGAGTAAAGTAAACAACGCCATATAAATGCTCAGTAACAGTGGTACTTTTACTCTATGTCACAAGCAAAAAATGCCTGAAGATGACAGAATACGATTCGAAACTTCGGGAAACTTATTGTGTATCAAAGTGACAGTACATTCGCTTACTGTCATCTCGTAACGAATTATTTGCAAAAGGTCGTGTCTGTTTCTAACTGTCTTCCGCAACTTATGGGTGTTTAAGAAACTCTTGATCCTTGCATGCAGTTGTTGTATCAGTTTTGTATACTTCACAGACAATACTTTATAAATACAAAAGTATGCAGTTTTGAGGACGGTTATTTTTACTTTCTTGTGAAACTTTTCTGCCTCAGAAACCTCTTTCTGCAGCTTCTTTCCGTTTATTTTTTCTCCTCGTTTTTGCTCATTTTTTTTCTTTGTTTCCATCTTCTCTATCATTTTATACTCTTATTTGTCCTATCCTATCTGCTTTTCTCTCCTATTTATTCTTTTACCCTCCTTTTCCTATTCGCTTTTTTATGTATTTTGCTCTCGACTCATTACGTTTCATTTCATATCCTGTTTTTCCTACCTGTCTTCGTTCTGAATCACTATTTCTTCATCCTCTACCATCAGTTCTTCCCTTTTCATGTTTCGTTATCGCTAATCCTGTTTTATGTCTGTTCTTTCTGTCTTCATTCTCCCACTTCTTCATAATGGTAATGCAGGTGTAAGTCTAAACACATTGGAAGTATGGTTATTTTATTCACTGCAGTGGACCCACAGGAAATTTTACGATTATGTACGTAAGGCTTCTGTAGCAGTTATCAGGCCGCTTTCCCTTTCCTGTAAAAAGTCTGACATTGCTATTTGCTTCTGAAACTTGTTCAAAAAGAAAAACAGCTCAAAGCCAGTTAATGATCTGATGTATCTGCTTCGATTTTGCAGTCACTCTCTTGACACTAATGTAGTCGAGGAGCCAGCCAGACGACATTTGTTGCTGTCGTGGAAATGAGTTACACAACCTACAGTCAATTAGAAACCAAAATATTCTTGACTTCAGCAGCCAACATTGTGGTAGTTTAAGGTTTCGTGCTGAATGCTGTAACATTCGTTCCTTGTCTGTCGAAGGTAAGTCACATGATGTCTGCTGTACGGCTTGTGAGTACAAACTCAATGTACTGACGGTGACTGAAACTCGTCTCCCGGTAATGGGGATGTTTGACCTAAACGTTGGGTGGTCATTGTGATAGTCAGGCTGTAGTAGATTACGCCGTAGTTTTGTCCATAGTTTTTTGTCCCCTAAGATAAGTCGGGTGGTGATTTCGGTGGTACAAGTTTCTCAGAGAATGCACTTCTGTTTCATGAATGTTAAACACTTGTCGCAAAATGTCGTCATCGCCTGTGTCGAGTGACAGCAACAAAGACGCTTCCTATGATTGCTTGCAGTCGGCTGTTAGGGCTTTGTCACGTTACGAGTCACAATTGTAACAGGCGACCTCAGCTCGAAGTTACGCACCGGGTACAACGTATGGTTAGGCGTTCCCATATTGATAGTGTGAATGACAACTGCAGGTGTCTGTTAAGCTTTTGCATCACAAACAGTTCAGTCGTCAACCGTACCCTTTTATCTTAATAATCAAATTCACCAACCTATCTGGACGTGCCCTGATGGAAGCCTAGACACCCGGCTGAACCACTTCTTTATCAACCGCAAATGGTCTCTGCATTGGGTCTCTTTACCATATAATCCTAACGAAACTTCGTCGTCTAAAACTGGCCATTTCGCATCTACGTCGTTTGGTTCAAACGTACTAGTTGTTCGATGTCGA